CCTCACTCCTCTCTCCCAGCTGCAATTGCTGTTACATAGTTTTCCTTTTTTCCCTTCTTAAATATGTTATCACAGAGGTGCTACCACCATCGCTGAAGGGCTCAGCCTTGGCCAGCAGTGGGTTCGTCTTGGAGCCAGCTGGCATTGGCTCTATCGGACAAAGGGGAAGCTTCCAGCAGCTTCTCACAAAAGCTGCCCCTGTAGCCCTCCCGCTTCCAAAACATTGCCATGCAACCCAATACATTCCACCCCTTGCTTCTGTGAGTCACATATTTAAGAATTATCATTAAAATCCATATTCCTCACACAAACATCAACAAAAATAATTCCCCACACCAATATCAAAATAACTTCATCACACCATCAAACAAAAGTGGAAAATTTACACACAATCCACCCCTCTTTCCTTCACAATTACAACAACTGAAATTCCCCACCATCATTCTGCTCTTTGCTCTCTAACTTTTGTTCAGTCCATGTTTTGTCCGTTACCTCTCCTTATCCTTATTACAATCTGTTGATCACTGTGACTATAAACAAAAAGCAGTAGTAATGTGATGCCTTCATTCAGATAATTCTCTTATTTTTTCACTGATGTTTGACTGTGCTTTGGAAACATCTGTGACATTTTACCAGCCAAAAACATCATGACAGATGTGTGAACGAAAAAAAACCAAAACACAAGAACATCTTTGCCTTAAGGAACATCTCTGACTTTTGAATTGTTGACCCGCAGTCATCAGAGAGGTGTAGGCATCAGCAGATAGGAAGATGGTCTGGAAGCCAGCAATTGCTATTTCTGTTCTTGGCTCAACCCAGCACTGTCTTGCTGTAGGTCCTTGAACAAGTAATTTCACATTTCTGTTTTTATTTCCTCACTGAGACAGCGTTTTTTCTATTTAAGTGGAAATCATTGTGGCAGGGATGTGCACTTTGTCCTATGCTGAGTGTATTGGATTCTCTAGAACCTATTGTCGGGCTAACTTGCTTCTCCAACTGTCAGCATGTAAAGCAGACATCTATCACCACCAATTAATTGTATCTGAGAAAGTTTCTTATGCCTGTTCAAGTTGACACATGCATTTGTCATTATCATATTGTAAAGCATCTCCCAAGCTTTTCTCTGCATGGAAGCTGCGCAAGCATGAGATTTTTTTCGGGAGGCTTTCTCAAAATAGTCTCTGGGTTGGTACTGTCAGCGGAGGTTTTAATAATATTTTCAGTTCTTCAATATGTCATCTCTTCAGTGCACATGCAGTGTAAAAAGCTTTGCACTCAGAAAAGCCTCCCAATTTCCCTGAAAAAGAAATTCTTTTATTCCATTTAGTTCAGTACATAACCTTACACTAACTTGTAAGTTCACTTCTGTATGGTGAGAAAGCTGCTTGAGGATTGTCAGTTACCTATCTCATTCTCCTGTTAATGTGAATAGTTTATGCTTAGCCTATTGTGTTACCAAAAACTTGGTCTTTTTAATGTTATTTCTTTATTACGCATAAACTTATTCAGAAGGTCACAGTATATGTTCAATGTACTCTGTACATAAGTTCATTTTGTATAAACTTATTTGGAAGACAAGGTCGCTCTGAAGTACAAGTTTACTTTGAATTCATTTGGGAAGGTTTATTGAAAGTTGCAAATGAAGAGTCTCTGGAGGGTCTTATCAAATATTTAAGGGCCGCTTGCATTTAGGCCAGTGGAAACTGGAAAATAACTGACCTTTCTCTCTAACTCATTTCCAAACTATCAGTGTCTATCTTACAATGTGAAGCTTCCTCAATTCTAGAACAAAATACTTTCAGAAAGAAAGTAGTCAGAACTGATATACCTGCTTTAAGTAGGCTTAAATTAGAGATGATTTCTGGCAAAGCAGCACATCATAGAACACATCAAATAAACATTTTCCAACATTTTGTTCTTAAGAAGGACTTTGACATTTACAAAACTATTCTTCATTCAAAAAACAAACTATCAAACCCGTATTTTCTTCAGGTACTGATTAATCTACTCCTAAACTGGTGTCTTACACAAGGGATACTTGTAGTTTCAATAAAGGCTTCTGTTAACTAGTTGGGTTTTGATCAAGTGGTTTCTACTTACAGTAATCTGCTCTTCATACTGTTTACCACTTAGAGCTGAAAACATATACTTCATTAAAAATACAGGTAATTTAACTACAAACTGAAACCACACAGTTATTTGAAACTCCATGTGGCACATATGTTATATATTTAATTTATATAAACTTCCTCACAGAAATGTGTTCTAACTTCTATGTCACTATTGTGACAGACTTTATCTAGCTAATTTGTAACAAGCATGTTTGCTTGTTTTTAGAGGCAGTTTTTATTCTGCTTATCTAGTTGCTAAAACCTAATCTAAAAACACTGATAAAGACAGTTTTTAATTTTTTCAGTTAGCATTCAATCCACTTACTAACTACAGTATAAGAGCTACAAGGCTCGGGGGATTCTGGGCACTATCTGCTACTTGTGCTATTTAAAGATATAAAGTAAGTAAAACTGAAGATTACGTATGCCCTTTAAAATATGCAGGGACTACTTATTGATCTTTGTCATTGGTTTGTTATCACTGTTATTATAAATAATTACTTTTACAGCGTAAAGAAGGATTTGCTGCTCCTGAGCTAACAGAATAGTTCCCTCCTGATCAATTTATTGGAAGTTATCATATGTGAAAACCATGTTGCTTGGTTTCAGTATGTTGGAAGAAGTTTGTAGCATGATTAAACTGAGAGATTCCTTGTAGGCAAGCCTTGATGATGGGAACAAATCAGACTGTCATTTTCTATGGTGTGAAGAAAGCCTGTACAATGATCCATTGAGGGCAGGTGATTTGGTAGACCCCAATTTAGCAAACACTTTATCCTTTTTAGGATCAACTTGTCAAATTTTGGCACTGATGCTAAATAACTAGTCATGCTTATGCAATTACCTTTGGAGGCAGAATACTTCACACTACACAGCTTCTCTGTAGACTTTAGGATGATTTTCTTGACAAACGCATAGTATCTTGAAAAGAGTAAGCAAATGGACCACGATATTAAATCAGTATCAATGTGAGTCCAAACCCTGTAAAGACAACACTAGGCTTTTCTTTTTTGGCATCTAGGATTGGTGGAAAGTTCAAATAAAGCTGTAAAGATTGTGTTGCTCTAAGAAGGAAAAGGACATAGCATTAGCATTACCAATATTTGGTTTTTTCCACTTCACTGTCATAATCTCTGCTTTATCCAGACCAGGTATGAGTCATTTACTTTTCATGCAGGTCCCCACTTTCCTCTGACAGTGACTAAAGGAAATGGGTATAGCCTGTACCTGTTGAGGAGATATATTATTGGCTGCTATCCATTTTTTGATGGCATGGAAATCTATTAACTTTCACCATCCCTCCTAATGGCATCCTATAAAGTATTGTCAAATTGGACCCCATGGGATTGCCAAGGAAAGTCTGAAGACATGGGGGAGAGGAGCAACTATCCCTTGCAATAATCTTTGCTCTGCAAGTTGCAATGTCAAGTGGTCCTTTTTTCATAAAGTCTATGTCAGAAGCATTTCTGAGTCATTCCTCTTTCATTGATGCAAGGATATGAAACCACACATCATTGCTTTGTTTGGAAAATAGGTTGGAGCACTTTTCAGGAGGTAGCATTCAAGGCTGGTGTTGGATGAAGGTGGCCCAGGCTGATCTGCTAGTTCCTTCTGTAAAACAGATTTTCTGGCGGAGTTTTATTGCTGATCCATTTAGCATCCTCCCAGCATTACATTTCATTTAAACATCCATGTTTGAAACTGAGCCAAACTCCCAAATGAACCTTGTCAGTTACCTAATGTTAAAAAGCGCATAAAATAAAAACTCTAACTCTTGCAGCCCTGGCTTCTCAAATGACTCTTACTGCTTTCACTAAGAAAAGAGTATGTTTTTAAACATGGCATAGAGCAGACTAGACTTCAGTAGATTTTTTTTCCCCCTTCATGGTAACCTTTTCTTAATGAAATGATTTGGATTCGGGAGGAAGGAAGCATTTGAGTAGTTGGATAATTTTGCGTTTGTTTGTACAAGTATTGTGAAGTAGATGTTATTTACCATCTTCCTCAGACATCTGAGAATATCTGATCACTACTGGCTTATTCATAGAGAAAGTTGTGCTTCTTTATTTGCATGTTTTTCTAATTAATCCCCTATTCAGAACATATGAAATATAATCCTAAATTTGCCACCGACTTTAGCTCCCTGTGCCATTTCTGTATTGTTTCTTTGACATAGTTTATGCATTGGGTCACTGTGTATATGAGTAGAGATAGAGATATTATGACCTTATGTAACACTTACAAAGTTGGGATCATAAGCTGTTTAGTTCTGCATTTAAGGGAGTAAAATTACTGTTATATCTGTGCATACATTGGTATTTCTAATAAGGTTGCTATTATGTGAACATTATAAATAGATATTTGCATTTATATATACAAAATGCACACTTCTAATCCTTATATGCTAAAATTATTTCAATGCTTTCAGGCTTTGATTGCTGAAACTGAAAAAAATAGTGCAACATATTCTTAATGCAGCACTATTTTTCTGTCAGACTATTTTATGTTCATTACCTAGTCACTCTTACCTCAGTTTCTGGTCATTTTGTTAATCAGTTGTAACATAATTGTTTGCTTAAATTATATCAGTTAACATTCTAGCCTCACTTTTTTCTGTTTGAGGGAGGCATAGGGGTGTTTAATTTTAGCCTTTATATTTCTGGTGGTTGGAACACGTACGTTTTCTGTCCCTACGCAACTGGCATGTTTCACTCATTAACTGTGTATTTCAGCTGCACTGCCTGTTTTCTGTGGGAACTGTGAGGATCTGAGATGCTAATGTACTTTGAAAGACAGAAAACAATCTCAGTTATTCCCTTAAGACTGCCAGGCTGGTAGGAAGTCCTTTAATAACCTCAGCTTATGTTTTGATATGTGCTGTTGTTTCAGGTTCAATGGATCCAAAGGACTTTCTGAGGGAAGCACAAATAATGAAGAACTTGAGACATCCAAAGCTTATACAGCTTTATGCTGTGTGTACTCTGGAGGACCCGATTTATATTGTTACTGAGCTGATGAGATACGGAAGTCTTCTAGAATACCTTCAAAGTAAGCAAATGACTATAAACTCATTTCAAGGGGTGCCACAGCTGTCAGTTTAGTAAATACACTAACATCAAAGATAGAAGTACAACACTCGGGTTTAATATAAAAGCTACATTATTTGTTGCATGTGGGGATGAGAAAAGAGGAAAGAAAGGTTTATGAATTTTTGACAGGCCAATGTATTTGAGAAGTAGGAGAGAATCACATTCACAGTTTGATTCTTGCCTTATAATGACCCACATTTTTCCACTCAGTTCTATGAGTAGATGGGAACATACACTGACAGAATAAAAATACAAGCATCCAGAAGGATGGGTCATCATATTTGATGTGGAATAGAGGCACTTCCACAAAATGTACTTAACAGCTTTGAAATCTATTACTAGGCAGAGATAGCCTTTCACTGTGAATTTGTCCCTTGCCTATCACATCAGGGCTTTTATCTCAGCAGCACTTCAAAGTGCTCTTTTGAAGGCAAATAGTAATTAAAAATAAAGTTGTACAGCCTGGAACAGACTAGCATAATTATTGCACTTTATATTCACCCCTGCTATTGAGAAATGCTTGATTCTAGTGTTGTTACCCATTTTCAGTTTAGCAGATATCTCTGAGATGTTAAATGTCTCTAAAGCTGTAATGATGAAGACAAGATGTTCGCTGCGATTGTCTTGCTAAATTTCTTCTCTGTTTCCAGCCCATAAGGCAAAGCCCTGTGAAATACTACAGACACTGTTTACCATGACACATGCCTTCCCCCATCTTCTCTGTGGAACCATTTTTAAGTGAGGCGCAATCCAGGGACAATTACAGCTACAGTAATCTCTGGTAGAGAGACAGCCCCACCAGGAACCGTGCAGAGAGGGGCTGCAATGCGTTTGGGCCAGATCATCTACAGTTTTGTAGGCATTTAGCGTCCAGAGGTACCAAGGCACAAATTACCTTTAAATTCTCATCTTTGCTGCCTTTGTGTGCAGATTGCCGCTTATCTGATTGAAAGAGCCTGGCACATCAGGAAATGATTGCTGTGCGTGAAAACATTTATTGCACCGGAGAAATAGCTCTGAGAAAGCCAGGATGAGTCACAGCTATTGCAGAGGTTGAAAATTGGTCTGTTTGTGTATGGAGTACAACATGTCCAGGACACATCAGTGCTGCAGCCTGTGTGTGGATCAGTTGCCAGCACATGCACAGCAGTTGCCCTTGCTGTGGGCAGAGCATGTGTGCTGCCTGATCTTTGCCCAAGTGCTCGTTCCTGTAGCGCTGTATCAGAGACACTGTGGAAAGTCAGTTGTTTTCCAGGCAGCTGTCAAGGTAACCGTGGAAATGGAGAGTTGAAACCCAGCCTAGTGGTATGTCTCCTTGTCTGATGGCCTCTGCAGGGGATACTAAGGGCACAGAACTAAGAAGTGGAGGCAGAGATCCCTGTTCTTTGATACGTATTGGTCAGAGAAAAGTCGTCATTGTCAGTGGGAGTAGTAAGGAAAGAGTTTCAAAGAGCTCTGTGACTGGAAGTGAGCTGTATCAGCTGGCAGTCAGTGCACAACTCCTGATAAGCTTTCTTGAGACTCAGCCACTGCAGGAACCAGGAAAACATCTCTAGAAGGCTGCTGTCTCTGTGTTCACTATGAGTAAATATGTCAAACTGGAACAGAGGGAAAGTCCAGAGATCATTCTTTTGCTAAGTTTCCCCTCCTAGAAACACATGGTAAGTTTTTCCAGCTTTAAAAATCACTAATATTTCATGCATAGTGACTATCGCATTCCACCATAACGACAGCTAGTTAACGATGGACATGTGAATTCCCTGTGCGCCCTGTGAATGTACTTTGGGATACTTCCTGACGAACACTGCTATGCAGAGTTATTGAGCTGCCGCCAGTATGAGAAAAATGCAACTGAAAACTTCTCTTTTTTATTGAATGTGAATGACATTGTCATAAATGTATGAGTATTTTTATCAAATCTGATAGACCTGGGGCTTGTTCTGGAAGGGACGCAGTCTTGAAGTTCAGTGAATTATTACGGAGGCATTGCTCTCAACTGGAGAAAGTGCTGCTTATTTATTTATTTTTTTATTATCAGCAGTCTTTCAATGAGAATATTTTCCTGTCTTTCCTATATGAGCTATTTTGATTGATGGCTTAGAATGGGGGACAGACCCTAAGCCTCCTTTAATATTTTCTCTAATAAATTTTTCATATAAGGGCGATAGTTTTGTCAAAAAATATTAGTAAAAATGGACATGGAGGCCCTACGTTTTCTTTATAGGATAAAGCATAAGCCATGGAAAGGTTTTATAAATTCACCAGTAGTTCCTGATTTTGAGTGTGGAAGTAATACTAACTTTGTTCTTTTGTTGTAGTTTTTTAAAACAAACTAAAGCAGATGTATACCCATATGAATATAGCTGTAAACTCTTCTGAGCTGCTCTGAACCAGCCAGATGGGAGCTGGGTCTGGTCTGGAAACCTCCATAGTTGTAGTAATGCAGTGTTGTGCTTGAATTTGCGTGTTTTGGCTGGCCCAGCTTGGGATTTTGGAGGTATAGTCAGAAATCTTTATGAGACAACCATGCATGATTTGCACCTTAGATCCCAGAGAGACCTGTGCTTTCATCCTCTATCTTTGTGCACAGTCTGCAGCTCCTGATCTGCTGAGGCTCCTCCTTACATCTTTCCCTTCTTTAGCTCCAGAACAGCAGCAGCGCAGAACCAGCTCGAAGAGAGAAGCCCTCCAAGAAGTACTGCAGCAGCCAGGGCAATGGTGGCCTTTTCCCCTTGCTCAGCCCACATGCTAAAGATAATAAGTCAGCCTGGTCTGGGACCCCAAACAAGCCCCAATAGGAGAAACAGTCTTTCAGCTGCAACTCCACCATTAGAGGTGGATCTTGTCCTTGTCCTTTAACCCAGTGCACCTGCATGTCCTGCGGGGAATAAGACAGGGAGGGTTTAGCAGCTCTAACGCCTGTTCTGCACTGAAGCAGCTCATTAAACACGAGGCTTGTGAGTCATCCTTTTTTTCCTATGACATTGCTGTGTCCTGCCTCTTGGAGCAAGCTTGTGTCAGGCCAGCCTGGAGCATCGTCAGGGCAAAGACAAATCTGTGCTCAAGTCTGTCTGCATCCTTGTCTGCTTTCACCGGGAGGTAGTTCACAGCCTGTGCAGACGAAGGCGCAGTGTGAAAGGGAACATGGGCAGAGGGATTTTAAACTGAGACACATAAGCTAGTTTCTAAAACCCAGGTACTCATGCAAAGTATTGTACATAGTTATTTTCTGGTTAAATACAACATAAGCATTATTTGTGGATTTATGTCTTTGTCCAGCAAGATGAATAATAAATGTTGTTGTCTGCCAGTTACCAGAACTGCAGAACTTCAGAGTGTTATATTATTCTGTGGCCTGATGATGGATTTTCTTGATGGTTAAGTCATAGATTTTCACACGGCCTGATTTTTCTCCCTCTCGCTTTTAAAGGTCAAGGCAGCTATTAAACATATGTGTGAGTGAAGAAAAGATTTTCTAAATCAACAATAGAAGTAAATAATCAGTGCTGGATTATCATGACAAAGAGTTTAGCCTCAAGAAGGAAGTAGGACAATACACATACAGGGCAAATTTAATCATTTAAAATTCGTTTATTTTACCTATTCATCTCAGAACATCCAGATGAGCAGGAAATTCAAGGCCTGGAGATTGCAGAATAGATTAGTAAACAATGGAATTTCACACTCTTCATAAGGGGTGACTGCAAGGTTAGGGCAGATAAAATGCCAGAACTGGAGGAGGCTATGCAAAACAACGCTAAGACACACTTTCATTACAAATCAATTCAAAATAAGCAACAGAAAACTGCCAACTACAAATGTGTTATTTCTTTAACGTAGAGGCAGTAAGGAAAAGTCACTATCCTAACGAGAAAGGAGAACTGCCAATAAACCCAGCAGCAAACACTCAGCTTTTTGATGTTGTTAAGATTCTGAAACAGAAAGTTGAAATTGTTTTGAGTATTAGAGGCTGCAGAGGTAGGCGCTTATGCTTCAGCACTGCAGTGTTTCGGTTTGGATGACAGAGTGATGCTTGAATATAACACTGATTTGGCTTACCTAGATTACCTTGGGGTTTAAATTCTTTGCTATGAGGAGGTCAGCTGGCCCCAAAATGACACAAAGGCCCTGAATTTGTGTTGTTATGTTGTATTCTTATATTGTATGTTATACCCCAGTGACTTTTTTCGTGGTACCTGTCTTACAATTTTTGGCTGCACTTTTTCATGGCCTAAGGCTCTTTCCTTCATTTGTGGAGGCAAGTTGCTCTGCTCGAAGTTCTTCTACTACTTTGAACAGCCAATCTTTTATTGACAAATCTCTATTTCTGGGACGTGCTGATCTTACAGTGGTGGGAATGGCATGCACGTTGCTTCAGAAAGTTCTGCTAGAGAAGCAGGCAGCTTGAAAGCAGCTCAAGGAGTCCTACTGTTGAGTAGTAGCACAGTGATAACAGCATGAAGCAGTCAAGTGGACTGGAAAATGAAAATGAGAGTTACACTTGACAGCAGATGGTGTATTTCCTAGTAAGAATAATTGCAGAACAGGGAAAAAGGATAATTTTGTGCTTTTCCATCTTTAGTCAGCTTTGGCTACTGTCAGTGAGTACTGACATTAACTCTTACTCAGTTTGGAACAGCTTATGCACATGTCAGAAAGGCAAACATCTGCATTACTATCAGTAGATAAATGCTTTTTTCTTTACACCATGTCAGCAGGTCCTTCCAGGCCTAGATCAACTGCTGTATTTAGTATCTACTTTAAGATGGGACAGACATTGTTACTCAGTTATTGTGAAACTAGCTGTGTGACTTCAAGTAGTGTCATTCACTAACCTCTGTCATTTGGTTGGGCCGTTACTTTATCGTATTGCATGGTTTTGTTGCTTTGTGTTGACTATTTGAACCAGTCAACTGTTTCGTTATTTATATCTGAATATCATAAATATTATGTTATCCTTGTAACCTTCCTTTTAAACAGAAGATGCAGGGTCCCAAATCTTCCTGCAACATCAAGTCGACATGGCTGCTCAGGTGGCTTCCGGGATGGCTTACCTTGAAACTCAAAACTATATCCATCGGGATCTGGCAGCCAGGAATGTTCTTGTTGGTGAACACAGTGTTTACAAAGTGGCAGACTTTGGACTTGCAAGAGTTTTTAAGGTGGGTTGTGAGTGGGTGAATTTGCTCTACTTTAACTCTGGGGAACAAGGTGGAAGAAGTCAACTAATGGATGTACTGTAGCCTCTGGATTGCTGGGTTCAGGCAAAAGGCATGCCCAGGGAGAAAAAAAAAAAACAACCCTAATGTGTTCACTTGTATCCTCTACCTGCATTATCCCATGCAAGGTTAGAGGCTGGTCTGTGCCTTTGTGTCAGTCTGAAAATGGCATCCCGGTATCTGCTTCCCACTAGCCACCAAGGAAGGAGCCTGTCAAGCAATACTCTTTGCTGCACAACCTTTATCCACAACACTTGTGTCTGCCACATGGAAAGAGATGACAGGAATGATGGCAAAATTATATTCCTGAACCTGTAAGGAAAGGCGTATAAAATGCATTGACAACTATTCTCTCTTTGTTCACTTCCCCACTGCCTCCATGATGCTTGCAAGTGCAGGCAGTAATGATAAAAGGACCTTATTCCTTTCCATGACTAACTACAGAGTTCATAAAGTGAGCTCTCAGAGCTTTAAATCTGATGCAGTTTCAGGTTCTTTGCCATTGGACTGTTTTTCATTTCTCTAGCCCTTGCGGACATGGAATGCCAAGTAACGCTGACCAAGATCACCCTAGGAAAGAGCTGTGGTTTAGGAATGAGATTTCCTACCTGTGAAAATTATTTGATCAGAGTTGGAAAGATTTCATTTGCCATATTTTATGGATTTCAATATGTAATCCATAATTTCTGAGGTCTTATTATTGTTTTTATTGATTTATGTTCTTGCACTGAAAAGGAAAAACAGAGGAAAAATCCCTCTGCTTCTTTTTTTTTTTTCCCATTCAAGCAGCAGAAATTGAAATTCATAACAGAGTTGGATTTATTACATACTGAAGTATAGAATAATGGCTTGACAATGGCATCAAGAGACTTTGAAAGTGCTTTTTCCTTAATTTTGATTCTTCTAGTTATGCGTAAGTTCAGATTGCACATTTTTTGACATGAAAAAAGATGTTTTTAAATGAATAATGCTTACAATGGATAGTTCTCCTTTGTCCTCACTAGAGGGGGTAATAATTTACAGCTGTTGACATTTCTTGTTAAAACTGAACTTTACTAAAATACTCTGTCATAGAGTCATCTTGGCAGACTTTCTTAGGAATATTCTGTCTCCTAAGCCAAAGCATTAACATGGTCACATGCAAAGAGTTCAAAGGACTAGGTGTGAGAAATGAACTCTGTGTTTCTGTATGTGTTAATTAGCATAATGAAATAATTTCTTTTTTCTAGAGATCAGTCTTATAGTCAAGATGCCAACTGTATCAGTATGTAGATACAAAACACTAACAATCAGTCTTTTCAAAACTATAGGTCATTACAGCTGGGAAATGTGCATTCTATATTATAAACAATAAACCAAACAAAATCTTGTACACATTTGCCTGGATTTGCATGTGAAAAACCTGACCAAGGCTTAGATGTGACTGATGTGTGCTAAATTATGTTTAGGAATTAGAGAGAAAATAACTGTTTGTGAAGTTAAATGTCTGTGGTATAAAACTTTAAGGGCATGATCCTACAAATTTGAAAATGAATAATTTTTCTTTTTCTATGTGTCTTTCATCTTCACTTTACATGAATTAGTTGGACCCACTGTAAGCTAATATGTTAATCTGAATCATTTGGAGTTTGTTCTTTGGTCCCCAAAACCTGCTTAAGTGATTGTTATCAAAGTCAATGGCCCTTCAACACTGCGATAAATCACAGAAGAAAGATTCCGAAACTCATTAGCTCTTGCTCTTGCCTCCTCTGTTTACTGAAGACCAGACAGTGAAGCCATTTGTGCTCTAGTGCCAGCAGGGTGCTTACACTGCCACTCCTGACAGACTTTTGAAATCTTGCATGCCAGGTCTAGAATTCACAGTAGCAGGTCATAATTAATCATGAGCCACTCCAAGGCTGCGTGCTCACTTGAAATGATAAATGCTTTAGAAAAGCCTCCAATGAACGGTAGCATTTCTCAACTGTGAAGCCCAATTTCAACAATAGACTTCAGAAAGTGCATGCTTTAATACCATGAAAGGCAAGGGCTTGGCTAAAAGAGGATAAGATTAAGCACATGCTTAGCTTAGTCAGGTGCTTAAGTGCTTTGCTGAAGCAGATCTGAAATCAGGCTTGCTTCGTTTTACCCATGACAGGTAGAAAATGAAAACGTATATGAAGCTAGGCCTGAAACAAAACTCCCAGTGAAATGGACAGCCCCGGAGGCAATCCGCTACAACAAATTCAGTGTTAAGTCAGATGTCTGGTCATTTGGAATACTTCTATTTGAAATAATCACCTACGGGAAGATGCCTTATGCCGGTAAGTGCTTTTACCTAAAAAATGATGTCTAGTATTTACTTACTTTAAGAACAGCACACAAAAAAGTTGAATGCCTGTACTGCGGGCATGTTAAAGGGTTAAGACTGTAAATACAGAAAATCGGCTGTTCAGATGAGGCCCATTTAGTGGGTCAGACCTTCTGGCTGCCCCAGGCTCCCTGGAAGCTTTCCAAAGGCTGCGATTAACAGCCATTCAGGCTTCCTTTGCTGGAGTCAACCTGCATTGTGCAGGCACCTAAGCCAACTGGATATTTCCCTCCAGCATCAGATCGAAGATGCCAATTCTTGGAATGCGGAAAAAGGGAAGGTTTTTCTGTCCCCCGTCCCGCCCTTGGGTTTCTTTTTTAGTTTATTTTTTTTGAGGATATCTCATGAAAGAACAGGTTATTATGTGTGAAGTGCTGCACAGCCACTTCAGGAAGAAGGCATCTGAAAAATGAATCAGGGTGTTTTTACCTCTTTTTCTCATATTTGACTATTGCAGTTGAAAGTCTTCATAAAGAGAAGGATCACAAGAATTAGGAATAAAATGTCACCAACCTCAAAAGTAGATTTAACGGCATGAGAGCAGCTATTATTCCTAGCAGTGTGAGAAATAGTCAAGGAACTGTGGCTCCAATAACATGTTATCAGTGAGATGATTGACTGTGACTCATTTTGTGCTGGTGAGGAGAACACAAGGGAAGAACTAAAGTGAAAAAATGTTATGCTGCATCTGTACAGGCCTGAGGGGTGGTGCATTGGCCATAAAGTACATTTCACAGGGTCCCAAACTGGTATTTCCTGTAAGAGGAAAAATTGATTTTGCTTTTTGGTTCCCACCCTCACCTCCTGTGAAACCATTCTGAAAAAAACAAACCCCAAAACCAAAGCCAAAAATCCTCAATTCTTTCTTACATAAACTGTACATGTGTGCGTACGCACGCACACACACAAATAAACTATTCAAGTATAAAGGACAGGTAACATCATGATTCTTCGTGTTGTCTGAAAATATGTTCAGAGTTATCCCTTTGCAAAGGCATAGTTTACCTGTAACTTTACAGCAGAAAACTTCCTTTTGCCATGGCTATTTTCTTACTTGGTATTACTTTCAGGATTTTGTCCTCAGTGATCAGGAGAAGAGGTTATGTTGATCCATGGTGGCAGTGGGTAATATACAGAGGAAACAACTTTCAGAGATCTAGGGAAAAGAAGTAAAGATTATGCAATTCAAGATCTAATTTAAAGGGTAGAAAATTGAAAGGGAATGGGACAATTGTCTTAATATATAAAGGTACAGCAAAGGTAGGGAAATGGTTTCTTCTCCACACCTTGCAGTGACAGAGCAGGCAGGATGCTATCGCATAGCTGCACCAGAGGAAAATTAGGGCTGGTGTTAGGGAAAACTTTCTAAATGTGAGGAAAATTCAGCATCAGGACGGATTTTCTTGGGAGATGTTGAAGTCACTGAGACTGGAGGGATTTAGGAACAATTTAAGTGAAACAGATGTCAGAAAAATTTTGGCAAAGCTGGGTGGCGGAGTAAAAGCCTCACTCTCAGATGAACCCGTTTGCTGTGCCTCTCAGGTGGTGTAGTCAGGGTGAGGGGGATGGGAAGGGCTGGAGATGGCTTTTATCTGCTGGTTTGGGATCCTCCAGTGACTGAGGCTAGCTCTGCTCTCAGCGTGCATGTGTACCTCACAGGGGTGCATCCCATTGCCTTGTCTCAGTAAGAGGTAGGGACAAGCAGCGTCACTGAGTAGACCCCCAGCAGTCTGACAAACTCCTTTTGGCTTGCAGGTATGCCAGGACACCAGGTGATCCAGATGCTGGACAAGGGGTACAGACTTCCTCAACCGGCCACCTGCCCAGCGCCGCTCTACCAGCTGATGCTGCAGTGCTGGAACGCAGAGGCGGACGGGCGGCCCACCTTTGAGGCTCTCTGCGGGCAGCTGGAGTGCTACTTTGAGACCAACTCCTCTTCCTATGCCCATGCTCAGGCCGTGGTGAAATGAACCCCCAGGCAGGGGCTGAAGGACAGATACTAACCCACATGGCTGAAGGGCGGGCTGTGAAATCAGCCTAACCTCATCCGTGGTAGTTATTAGGGGGTGCTGAGGAATTCTGGTACGTTTTCATCCCCTCGCTGATACTCAAAGACACTTAAAATTTTTGCTGCTGGCAAGTGTTTTTGCAAGACTAAGCATCAGGAAGATGAAGGGATGGGGGCTTCTAAAAAATAAAATGTCTTCTATTTATTTTTTAAATAACAGATTGCAAGAATAAACAAATGAAATGAGTGTTGCTCAATAACCATTGTAGCGTTTTGTTATTCCTTTATTGGAATAATTATTTGCTGTTCCTTAGATTTTTCATTCCTACCATGTTGTTCTCATGAAGGAACGTGATGGCTTTGCACAGCAGGATCTGTGCTTCCAGAGTCCTCTCGTAAAAAATAAAATAAAATAATAATGCCATGATTGTGATGATAGCAGAATCCAGATTAATTGCCTTGCTTAGACTTGAAGACATGTACTTTTGCTATATTGGAAAATAAAACAGATGTTCGTGGAGAAAAGGAATTATTTTGTTTTGTGGATGCAAAGAGTGATCTTTTTTAGTTTCTCTGCTGTTCCTCTTTTACAAGAATAAACACAATTATTGCTAGATTCTTGAAGCTGTTTGTTCTTAAACAGTGCCATGGAATCAATGAGTTATTGTCCATTGAAGTATAAGGATTTGTTTTATAGTTCTTCATTTTAGGGATATTGGAGGAAAAGATATTTTGACATGAACTCAAGACTGCCTTAGCCTTTTTAGAGTGCCACCCTTTCCTCTCCTGCTGCCCAAATCACGGACTCTCTCCAACAGGACAAGGCCCAGGGCAGGTCTAGGTATTTTGCAGAGAACTAGCAATCTGCGTTTCCATCTTCTCCAGATGTAGCTTTAATATGGGTGATTTAAATAATAGATGATCCATTTTATTTTGTTCCATGGGGAAATGGAGCCCAGGTGCTTCTGCTAGCAGTCTTTCTTTACAGCTACAGCTTTTAGAATCTTTTTGCAGTTTTTCTAATTAACTACAATATTGGTTCTGCTAAAATCTGATATCACTGTGACAGTTTTATGTTCTCAATTGTGAGGCTTAGAGAACCAAGTTTTAATTATTTACTTATGATTCATCAGTTAATTATTTAACAACATAATCCAGGAATTAAGAGCTGTACTGTGTTAACATAGTGTGAGCTCAGTATAAGTGTATTACTGTTTTCCTCTAATATCAAAAAAGAGTATAAATAAATGAAAAGATTCATTACTTTAAAGGCTGAGTGGCTTTTATTACATTTTTTTAATTTTCTTTTCTTCTCTTTATATTCAAATCCATTCATCTCAGTGCTTTGCTTTTAATTTTTAATTTCCTTTTCCCCTTCTCCACTTTTGGATGGCAGCACACCTTTTTTTTTGTTTCATACACATTCAAAACTCCTTTCCTTATTTATTATTTTTCTCCTCTTTCTGTCTTACTACACTTAAAGTCTTTCTAGCATTCTGTCTCTGTTCACTTTCATTTACTGTGCAGTGTTTCTCCCTACTAACCCTCTTTATACTAATTGTATTTGTAAAGCACAATACAGAGATAATTAATTAGCTGTCATAGCATCCATACAATTTTGGAAAGTAATCACCCAGTCTGAAAGAAGAAGAGGTTAAATGGCTTTGCCAAACCCATCCTGATAAGAACTGGCATGGATGGAACTGGGAGACTCCCAGGCAAAGTCTCCTGCTGTCCTCCGTCCATGTTTGTTTTGAGATTCATGCTAGCTACTGGCTCATGGCCCCAACAAGATGTTATTTATGATTATCAAACCTCCATCAATCCATGCGTCTCTCATCTGGCTGGGAGCTGTGTTTAACGCTGTTACAGTATGAGGTTAGCAAATCCCACAGAGTAGGTTGATGTAATAAGAAGAGGAATGTTGTTATTTGGAAAGACCTCTGTGGCAAGCTAGCAATCTTGATGTTCAAGCACTATTTCTAACATGATTTTTCAGACTTAAAACATTAAGAATGTTGCAAATAAAAGTTGAGTTTGCCCAACTCAAAAAAAACTGTTGATAAACGAAATATAACCTTAAAAATCCAGGTGTGTGCAGTTCACAGGAGATGAGTTGCCAGGCAAAAAAGAAAAATTTGACAGCAGGAAAATAGCAGAGTGTTCAGAATTCCAGATGATACCAACTGCTCCAAGCTGCTCTGTGCTAGCCTCTGCCCTTGGGTGGAAGTCAGCAGAATCTTGTAGAACTCCACTGAAATGACACCAGTAATTCTGAAGAAAGCACACCTCTACAATAAATATCTAAACCAACATATAGGGAATAGAAGGTCAGTTTGTCTGGCTAAGTGAATACTTTGTCTCCTTAAGTTCTCCTATAGACAAAGGACACACAGAGAGGCTTATTGTGATGGTGAATCAATGCACCAAAATTGCATTTCTCTTCTGAAGCACCCCTTTCAAACTTTCTGTTTGCTGCTCTAAAGGCATCTGGGAGAGATGAGACTCTTTGCTGAGGGGTGTGTGTAATAACCCACACGTTGTACACTGACATTAGCTGTTTCAAGCTCCCTCTACCAAGTGTGGCCTCATGAACCACCTTTAGCTGAAAGGAGCAGAAACTGTAAGTGAGCTGCACCCTGACGAGCAAGGAGTGGGCACCTGCATATGATGTCCTCCAGGTGACACGGACTGGCTCTCTGGGCTGCTGCTGGCAGGCGTATTCCCCTGCTGCTGCATCCTGCCATATTGTCTCTTGTGCTTTCTCTCCGTGCTTGCACAGCTGCAGCTAGCTACTGGAGTTTGGATCTGCCAGCTGCCTCTAGAATGTGCTGGCCCAGGGTGGGAGACAAGCAGCAGCACTGGCTGAAAGCACGAGGTAGTTTCACTTTGGTGCATCTCATTATAGGTGCCACATCAAAGGAATTAGTTTATTTTGTATTCATCTTTGAGGCAGCCTGTGCATATTTGGCCTCCCCAAGGTGATATACTGTAGGTGAAGAGGTGCAGTCAGGTTTTGTCTTCCATGCCTGAACACCATTTCCAACCCATTGGTGTGTGCCCTGTGACCAATGCACCCTATTTTCTCAGCAGAAGTGAAAAGCAAGGAAAGGCAGGAAGGCAGGTATGCTGTGGGGCCCGGACGTTCATTTTACTCTTGCACTGGGTTGCTCTGAAAAAGTCTGGTGCCTGGTAGAGGCCCTTTGCCACTGTCAACAATCCAGCTGAGGCCAAGCTTGGAAACCACAGATTCTGCTGTGAGATCCAGTGGTTCGTCTTTCTCTATTATATCCGTGTACTCGCACTTGCTCCCTTATTTTGCCTGCTGGTAAACTGCTGTTATCCCAGTGAAATGCTGCCACTCTTATTAGAGCTTTAATTTGGATCTCTTTTTCCCTGGGCTGGCAGGGGAGCAAGGGAGAGAAAAATCAGCAATATAATGGAATTAGCAAAGCTCTGGAAATAGAGAGTAATGTGGAAAATTAATCATTTGTTTTCAGCCCTTTCTCTCCCTGTTTTTGCAGTCAAATGGCTCCATTACTGAGAAAGACTGGAGGAAGAAGGCAGTAAAGGGTGATGAACGTTCACAGAGTTCAATTTGCTTACAGGCAATGCAACAAGAAAAACTATACCTTTCTAAGTCCAATTCCATTTTATAATAATTTTATTTTTATGACAGATAACAATTATAGTCAGAGATCTTTGCTATGACTTGATTTAAATTAAACATCAAGGTTATCATTTTGTTATAGTGCACAGCAAGATGAGTTTAACTTACCTCATTCTATTCTTGAGGCCTTTTGTGTTCAAGGTTCTGCTGGAGCTATCTATTGCACTTGTTTTCACCTGATGTATCATGGAGGAAAAATAATGGATTCAGTTATGAGAAATAGTAATAGATTTTTCTGAACTGACATAAATTTCTATGTTTAGATAGAATAAAAGGATCAGGAAGAGATAAGTTGAATTTTCTACAATAGACCAGTCCTTGTGAAATTCATTTCACATAAATTGTACTGAGACATCTTTTATGTAATATTTTATTTATGTAATCCAGTTATTCTTTGAGAACTAAATCATTTTATGTGGTCTTACAAAAGATAACTTTAAAATATCCAACCAGAAAGAAAGAACCTCAATTTTTCTTAAACTTTCCATTGTTCAGGAAGTTATGGAGCAATACAATTGAACTGTAAGTGTTAGGGAGTCCCTTGTGTTTATTTTTGACTCCCTGTTGAGAACCTTTGCTCATCTGATCTGCATTCAAGAACATATGCAGGGTTACTAAACATGTGATAGGGCAACTGGGAACCTTCTATCACTTATACTGCTTTCCTATTTTTGTTCATTGTATCTCATACTTGCTCTCTGAATGCCTTGTCTATGAGCAGTGATCTTCTTTGTGTGGATTTGTAACTTATAGCATGCAAGGAACTGAACCAGCAGAGTGCATTATTTTATTGTGGTTCAGACTCAATGAGCTATCAGTGCGTAGATATGGAGCACATGACTCATTCGAGTGATTGCTCCTTATGCTCTCCTAAGTGCTTCTGTTTTACTCCTTTAAAAGTGCTGTGGTGTCATGTCCACTCAGTGCTCCCACGGTCATTGCGACGACTGACCAGCTATTTGTAGTGTATGGAACTCGGAGAAGATAAAAACGCCACATGCAAGAGTTGTGCCACTATGCTCAAAGAGATACAGCTGCGTGATACTTTTTTATGGAAAGCTGTGTGGTTCCCATTCTATTCCAACAACGTCTGGGCCAGATGTGTTCTCCAGTGTGAGACAGACGCCTGCACCTGTCACCTGCTGCAAGCATTTTCGTGGAAGAACTCTGCATGTGCTCAAACAAAATACTGAACTGGGTTCTATGAAAAAGACTTCGTTCATCCACACTTAGTATTAGCAGGTCCATGTAATTTATTTTTTCAGTCTCTGATTTCTCAGAAATGATGAATC